GACAACAGAATTGATTCTTACTTTATCACGGCTGAATTCAAGAGCTCCGTATTTAGTGAACATATTCAGTGCTGCTTTCGACACTCCATAGAATGGGACAAGGCTTTTAGGCCGTATACTTGCTGAGCTAGAAATATTCACAATATTTCCAAGTGTTTTTTTCAGTTCAGCATAACAAAGTTGGGTCATGCGGAAAGGAACTTTCAAGTTGAAATTCAAGTTATAATCAAGATCTTCCATTGTTCCATCTAAAAGTGACGCAGCTTTATTTGGACCTCCAGCATTATTCACAAGAACATCAATTCTGGAGAACTCATCAACTGCTTTTTCAACTAAAGATTTCATTGTATCTTCTTTGAGAATATCACCTTGAACAATAGGAAATTTTGCATCTGAATGACCAATAGAATGGCATTCATGTTGTGTTGCTTTTAACGCCATTCCATCACGACCATGAATAACAACGTTAGCTCCAAGTTTGGCAAATTTCAAAGCAATTGCTTTCCCAATACCTTGACTCGAACCTGTAACTATTACTGCTTTTCTCAAAAATTCCATCCTTATTAGTTTTCAATTATCGTTTCAAAAGTCTACTCTCAATACGTCTTTCCAATTTTTGATTCAATTCAATTTATTTCTTGACATTAAGGCCTATATTGCAGTCGCCGAGTTTACTTTAAAATGTCTTTGCTACAGCCAAAACCTAACATTTCTCTCAAGGCTACAGTAAAATAAAACTATTAGACCATAAAAAAGTAATAGAAGTTAACATTTAATAATATGCAGACAAGGTGGGGGCAACCCATCTTTTATTTAAGTGAAAGTACTTTATGTTTAAAGGCTTCTATTTCTAAAATTAATATTTTATTTAAGTGACTCCAGAATGCACAATAACACTTAACTGAATAATCCTTTGGATATTTTAGTTCCATTATGTTTTTTACCTACATACATGTAATTGTAGTGACAGCTACACTAAATTACACTCAAAGCAATTGTTACAGAAATGGCATATAAAATCAATTATTCGATCAACACTATCTTTACATAGATACAGTTTCAGCATTATACATTTATTAGTCCAAGATAGACAATAAGTAACAATAACTTTAACAATATTCTCCAAAGTGCCAAGCCAGAAGAAGCAGCTCAAGTTCAATAAGTTCCCTGTAAATCTAGTTTCTAGTTATAAGTTTTGGATAATCACACATCCATTTCCTTAGATGTACAATAGCATTTACCAATGTTTCAGTATTATGTCAAACCCTTCTATATTGTCCAAGAGCTATGTTACTTTCTAATTCCACTTTGCCACATTAGCCAATGTCTCCACATTCTGTCCACCCAATGAATGTCATCTATGTATGAGAAAGTACTTTAGTACCTTCTATATTGTCCAAGAGCTATGTATACTTTCTAATTACACTTTGCCCCATTTGCCAATGTCTCTACATTCTGTCCAACCAATAAATGTCCTCCATGTACGAGGGGCGATCAGAAAGTAATGGACCGTCCGCTCTAATTTCATCAATATTAACACTTTCTATGTAATTTTTTTCACACAATATCACTTGTACATTGAATATAACACTGACAAAGTTTCATTGTTCTATGACATCACATTTTCATTTTATTGGTTGCTATGGTTACCAAGGTAGGGTCAAGTTGGATGTGATATTTATGTGAGAGAGCACTTTCCTTTGGTATATCAATACACGTGGTGAACTCATTGCCTCATAACAGTCATCAGCTTTACTTTAAAATGATTGTGCTAAAGGTCAATCCTAATATAACTCTCAAGGTTGAAGTAAAATAAAACTGTTATAAACAGACTCAGGTCGAGGCAACCCCTGTTATATTGAAGTGATTTTTACATGCTTCTGTTTCTGAACCTTATAACATTACTCATCAAAGATGTATCTTAAACATTTTGTTCTCCATGTTATATAAGAAAGCATTTTCCATTCATATTATTATCTAAATACTGTTCTCCATGTTATATAAGAAAGCATTTTCCTTTGAAATTATTCTCTTAATATTGTTATCCATGTTATATAAGAAAGCATTTTCCTTTGAAATTATTGTCTAAATATTGTTCTTCATGTTATATAAGAACGCATTTTCCTTTTATATTATTATCTAAATATTGTTCTCCATGTTATGTAAGAAAGCACTTTCCTTTTTGTATTTTTCTCTATAGTATATCTTTTAGTATCATCAAAACTATCACTTTCTAATTGCACTTTGCTGCATTAGTCATTGTTTCTAAATCCATTCCTAGCAATGAATGCCCCCCATCCACAATAATAATTTCACCCTGCATTGACGCATTTGATGCTAAAAACACCACCGTCTTTGCAATATCATCTACAGAAACCAACTGCCTTAGAGGAATCGCCTTTGCTGCTCCATCCAATAGCTCTCTCAGTTCTTGATCAGTTGAGACGATGCCAACATTTTGAAGAATCTTAGTATCCACATTACCAGGGACAACAGAATTGATTCTGACTTTATCACGGCTGAACTCAAGAGCTCCATATTTGGTGAACATATTCAGTGCTGCTTTCGACATTCCATAGAATGGGACAAGGCTTTTAGGCCGTATACTTGCTGAGCTAGAAATATTCACAATATTTCCAAGTGTTTTTTTCAGTTCAGCATAACAAAGTTGGGTCATGCGGAAAGGAACTTTCAGATTGATATTCACATTATAATCTAGATCGTCCATTGTTCCATCTAAAAGTGACGCAGCTATATTTGGACCTCCAGCATTATTCACAAGAACATCAATTCTGGAGAACTCATCAACTGCTTTTTCAACTAAAGATTTCATTGTATCTTCTTTGAGAATATCACCTTGAACAATAGGAAATTTTGCATCTGAATGACCAATAGAATGGCATTCATGTTGTGTTGCTTTTAACGCCATTCCATCACGACCATGAATAACAATGTTAGCTCCAAGTTTGGCAAATTTCAAAGCAATTGCTTTCCCAATACCTTGACTCGAACCTGTAACTATTACTGCTTTTCTCAAAAATTCCATCCTTAATTGGTTTTCTTTTTGGTTGGGAGGTCTAGTCTCAATACAATGGTGAACTTAAGGCCTCATAACAGTCATCAGCTTTACTTTAAAATGTATGTGCTGAAGGTTAATCCTAATATAACTCTCAAGGTTGAAGTAAAACAAACTGTTATAAACAGACTCAGGCCGAGGCAACCCCTGTTATATCTAAGTGATTTGACATGCTTCTGTTTCTGAACCTTATAACAATTACTCTTAAACATTTTGTTCTCCATGTTATATAAGAAAGCATTTTCCTTTGAAATTATTCTCTTAATATTGTTCTCCATGTTATATAAGAAAGCATTTTCCTTTGAAATTATTCTCTTAATATTGTTCTCCATGTTATATAAGAAAGCATTTTCCTTTGAAATTATTCTATAAATATTGTTCTCCATGTTATATAAGAAAGCATATTCCTTTGAAATTATTCTCTGAATATTGTTCTCCATGTTATATAAGAAAGCATTTTCCTTTGAAATTATTCTCTGAATATTGTTCTCCATGTTATATAAGAAAGCATTTTCCTTTGAAATTATTCTCTTAATATTGTTCTCCATGTTATGTAAGAAAGCACTTTCCTTTTTGTATTTTTCTCTATATATCTTTTAGTATCATCAAAATTATCACTTTCTAATTGCATTTTGCTGCATTAGTCATTGTTTCTAAATCCATTCCTAGCAATGAATGCATCCACAATAATAATTTCACCCTGCATTGAGCCAGTTGATGCTAAAAACACCACTGCTTTTGCAATATCATCCACAGGGACCAACTGCCTTAGAGGAATTGCCTTTGCTGCTCCATCCAATAGCTCTCTCAGTTCTTGGTCGGTTGAGACGATGCCAACATTTTGAAAGATCTTAGTATCCACATTACCAGGGACAACAGAATTGATTCTGACTTTATCACGGCTGAATTCAAGAGCTCCGTATTTAGTGAACATATTCAGTGCTGCTTTCGACACTCCATAGAATGGGACAAGGCTTTTAGGCCGTATACTTGCTGAGCTAGAAATATTCACAATATTTCCAAGTGTTTTTTTCAGTTCAGCATAACAAAGTTGAGTCATGCGGAAAGGAACTTTCAAGTTGAAATTCAAGTTATAATCAAGATCTTCCATTGTTCCATCTAAAAGTGACGCAGCTTTATTTGGACCTCCAGCATTATTCACGAGAACATCAATTCTGGAGAACTCATCAACTGCTTTTTCAACTAAAGATTTCATTGTATCTTCTTTGAGAATATCACCTTGAACAATAGGAAATTTTGCATCTGAATGACCAATAGAATGGCATTCATGTTGTGTTGCTTTTAACGCCATTCCATCACGACCATGAATAACAACGTTAGCTCCAAGTTTGGCAAATTTCAAAGCAATTGCTTTCCCAATACCTTGACTCGAACCTGTAACTATTACTGCTTTTCTCAAAAATTCCATCCTTATTAGTTTTCAGTTATCGTTTCAAAAGTCTACTCTCAATACGTCTTTCCAATTTTTGATTCAATTCAATTTATTTCTTGACATTAAGGCCTATATTGCAGTCGCCGAGTTTACTTTAAAATGTCTTTGCTACAGCCAAAACCTAACATTTCTCTCAAGGTTACAGTAAAATTAAAACTATTAGACCATAAAAAAAGTAATAGAAGTTAACATTTAATAATATGCAGACAAGGTGGGGGCAACCCATCTTTTATTTAAGTGAAAGTACTTTATGTTTAAAGGCTTCTATTTCTAAAATTAATATTTTATTTAAGTGACTCCAGAATGCACAATAACACTTAACTGAATAATCCTTTGGATATTTTAGTTCCATTATGTTTTTTACCTACATACATGTAATTGTAGTGACAGTTACACTTAATTACACTCAAAGCAATTGTTACAGAAATGGCATATAAAATTAATTATTCGATCAACACTATCTTTACATAGATACAGTTTCAGCATTATACATTTATTAGTCCAAGATAGACAATAAGTAACAATAACTTTAACAATATTCTCCAAAGTGCCAAGCCAGAAGAAGCAGCTCAAGTTCAATAAGTTCCCTGTAAGTCTAGTTTCTAGTTGCATGTTTTGAATAATCACACATCCATTCCCTTAGATGTACAATAGCATTTACCAATGTTTCAGTATTATGTCCAACCCTTCTATATTGTCCAAGAGCTATGTATACTTTCTAATTACAGATGCCACATTAGCCAATGTCTCCACATTCTGTCCAACCAATAAATGTCATCTATGTATGAGAAAGTACTTTAGTACCTTCTATATTGTCCAAGAGCTATGTATACTTTCTAATTACACTTTGCCCCATTTGCTAATGTCTCCACATCCTGTCCAACCAATGAATGTCATCCATGTATGAGAAAGTACTTTAGTACCTTCTATATTGTCCAAGAGCTATGTATAGTTTCTAATTACACTTTGCCCCATTTGCCAATGTCTCCACATTCTGTCCAACCAATAAATGTCCTTCATGTACAAGGGGCGATCAGAAAGTAATGGACCGTCCGCTCTAATTTCATCAATATTAACACTTTCTATGTAATTTTTTCACACAATATCACTTGTACATTGAATATAACACTGACAAAGTTTCATTGTTCTATGACATCACATTTTCATTTTATTGGTTGCTATGGTTACCAAGGTAGGGTCAGGTTGGATGTGATTTTTATGTGAGAAAGCACTTTCCTTTGGTATATCAATGAAGTTCTATGTACTTTCCCTAATTAAACGTTGTTGCATTTGCCAGCCTTTAAGCATCTAGCAATGAATGTTCTCCATGTGTGAAAAAAATCACTTTTCTATACCAGTATTATCCAAGTTCTAAATCCACTTTGTAATTATACTGAGCTGCATTTTTGGCATCCTGTCCAACCAATGAATGTCCTCCATATATGAGAAAGCACTTTCTTTTTCTATATTATCCAATTTCTACTTACAATTTCTAATTACACTTTTCTGTATTTGCCAAGGTTTCTGCATCTTGACAAACCCATGAATGTTTAAGATAACATGTTTTGTCTCATCAAAGGTCTATGACACTTTCTAATTACACTTTTCTGTATTTGCTAAGGTTTCTGCATCTTGACAATCCAATGAATGTTTAAAAAAATACTTTATTGTCATCAAAGTTCTATGACACTTTCTAATCACACTTTTCTGTATTTGCCAAGGTTTCTGCATCTTGTCCAACCAATGAATGTTTAAGAAAACACTTTTTTGTATCATCAAAGTTCTATTAAACTTTCTAATTACACTTGGCTGCATTTGCCAAAGTTTCGGCATCTTGTCCAACCAATGAATGACCTCCATCTAAGACCAAGATTTCACCTTGCATTGATGGGCTGGATGCTGTGAACACCACAGCCTTTGCAACATCCTCAACAGTAGCCAGTTTCCTCAAGGGAACAGCTTTGGCTGCTCCAGTATGTATGTCTTTTTGTTCTTGGATGGTCGACACAAAGCCCATATTTAGAAAAACATTGGTTTCAACATATCCAGGTGCCACAGCATTGATTCGAACACCATCAGGGCTGAATTCAAGCGCTGCACATTGGGTAAACATATTTAATGCTGCTCTTGACATTGTGTAAAATGGTATAGTCGTGTTAGGTCGTACTCCTAAGAAACTAGATATATTCACAATATTTCCCTGTGTTTTCTTCAGTTCTGGGTAAGAAAGTTGGGTCATATGTAGCGGAACTTTGAAGTGGATGTTCAACTCATAATCCAAATCAGTCATTGTTGCATCTAAAATTGATCCCATTTGTTTGGCTCCTCCAGCGTTATTCACAAGAACATCGATTCTGGAGAATTCAGTCATTGCTTCATCAACTATAGATTTCATAGTCTCATTTTTAAGAATATCACCTCTAACGATTGGAAACTTTGCATCAGGCTGGCCTACTGTTCTGCATTCATGTTGTGTTGCTTTTAACGCACTTTCATTTCGTCCATGAATAAGCACATTGGCTCCTAGTTTCGCAAAATTTAAAGCTATTGCTTTCCCAATACCTTGACTTGAACCTGTTACTATAACAGCCTTTCTTAAAAATTCCATCTTTACACTACAAGAGTCAAGTTTTTAAATTCCAAGCTGCATATCATATGTAGAGTTTTACACAGTTAACTATGTTCTTCATATTGACCAGTCGGTGCTATGTAGTATGCTTGTAAAAGTGTAAACATTGTTTGAAGGGGCAGTGTGAACCCCTATATCAGGTCACGGACAACAATTTTACTGCCTTGAGGCTTGAGTAGTTTAATACTAAGTTTAGCACATGTGTGCTTCTTTACAGAATGAATGGATGAAAGGAACTTTTATGTCAGATATGTAATATATATTTAGCTTATAATACATGAAAAATGTTAGAAACACTTATTAACCTCTACATATGAAGAATATCCCTGACTCCCTGAATTTTTATTCTAAAGAAGTATTGGAATAAATTGGGAAACATTTCATTTATTTTCTTAGCCTTAATGTTTATCTCAAAAAGTAATTGTGAGTTGATAACAAGTATGGTGTTTAAACTGCTTCTTTATTCGGTACATTAATATTCCATAAATACCAAATAAAACAAACAATTTACCAAACCCTAACCCAATCTCTCGAATGTTTTTTTATCTTATCAAATGCAATAATCTATACAATTTATATTCGCTAAATAGTTTCACTTGTTCTTTGTATTGACATTCACATTTGATATTTATACATGTATTTGTGTGATGCAGCGAATCAATTTGTTTTCCTTAACGTACGTATAATTCAATGAATTATTTGTACATTCGGTATTTGAATTATTTATATTCGGTAATTACCGAATGCCACATTCGATAAATTTCGTTATTTTTCGATAATTTACGAGACTTTCAGTCACGTGATATATTTGTACGATGTTGAATAGCTGCGCGGCCATTTTGCAAATCTCGAAGTCACGTGACAAAATATCGAACAACAACGCAAGTTATCGAATATTACTTTATTGCATTCTGTAAATAGCAAATTAGCTTTCGGTAAAATGCATTAACTATGTCATAGAAAAATAAACCATTTGGTAAATATACGCAAACTTATTTCGGTAGGGTTCAAATAGAAATTCAATATTGTGCATATAATGTGTTACTCTTAAGGAATACCATAACAATTTACGCAAAAAAATATAATTTAACGAATGAAATATGTAATTTATTGCACATAGTATTAAGTGATTGGCTATTTTGAAAACTTAATTTGCTGTAACAAACATATAAACGTTTTTACCTAATGGAAAAAAGATTTAGCGAATATAAATGTAATGTATGTTCAATTATAAGATATTATTAATTCATAGATGTCGCTCATAAATTGAATCTTGGGAAAAAGCACATGTGTGCCATATAAGGCAAAATATACATACCACCATTGATTTAGACTGAAATGATGTCTGTGTTTGTTATTGACAAAACTTGTATATATTAGGCCTCCAAACTTAACAATGGCGACGAGGATAGTGGCAAAACAAGTAAGAACAGTATAACAACAACTCAATGTGTGAAATAAAGTATAAATAGACTGTAAAGTGGAAAAAATTGAACTTAATTGAGACTTCAAAAATTCTGGAAAAAACAATTTTCAAAATGCCTATAGGAAAAATTGGAGAATTCAACAGTGAGTTGGAGCCATTCGAAAATTATATAGAAAGGATTGAACAATATTTCATAGCAAATGACATTGAACAGGATAAACGTAAGTGTGTTTTCCTAGCAGCTTGTGGTGCAAAAACGTATGACACATTGAAAAACTTATGTCTGCCAAACAAAGTTTCTGATGAAACTTTTGATGATATTAGCACAAAATTAAAGTTACACTTCAAACCAGAACCTCTGCTAATCTTTGAAAGATACAAATTTGGGAAAAGGACTCGACAACCCAATGAAAAGATATCAAACTTTGTCATAGATTTGAAAAAATTATCTTCAACCTGCAAATTTGGGACATTTTTAGAGGATGCATTGTGTATGCAATTTGTTGTTGGACTAAATATTCCGAAAGCACAGAATCGACTAATCCAAGAATCGGAACTTACATTTGCTAAAGCTATATCTATAGCACAAGCAGAGGAAAGTGCAACTGCTTCCTGCAAAGAAATTGACACTGAAACATCAACAAATGCATCCGTGAACATGATTCATAAACTAACTTGCTGGAGATGTGGCGGCGACCACAAGGCAAATATATGCCGTTACCGTTCAACTACTTGTCATAAGTGCAGTGAACCTGGACATCTGAAATCCCGCTGTGATGACGTTAGAAAATGGCGTGAGGCTAGGAAAGGGAAACCTAAGCCAAAATTCCGTAGAAAAGTTCATCGTCAGAATCTTCTCGAAGAGGACGATGGGTCAGATGATGGTCTCCCGACATACTGCATATATAGACTGGGAACGATGAATCCTGACAATGTCAACAATCATGGCGTACATGCATTAAAGGATCAGGTAACTCAGTACAATGTCTCAATGTTTGTAGATGATAAACCATGTAATTTTGAGCTAGACACAGCTGCATCAGTTTCTGTCATTGGTGAATCATTGTATAGGTCCAAATTAGCCCACATTCCATTGAAACCTCCAAAAGTCAAGCTAAAATCCTATTGTGGTAACTTGTTGGATCTCTTGGGTGAAATTCAAGTCCCTGTAACTTACAACAATGTTACCAAGACACCGCCTTTGATAGTTGCTCAGGGTAATAAGCCTGCATTACTTGGAAGAAATTGGCTTTCTCAGATCAAATTAGACTGGGGGCAAATTTTTGCAGTGCAAGACAATACTAGACTTGACAACCTACTGACGAAATATCACAATGTTTTCTCTGAGGAAAGGGGTGACATTCAAGGCTTTCAAGCTGAAGTTCAAATTCCAGAAAACTCAACTCCAATTTTCAAAAAAGCATATCCAGTTCCATACCCTATTCAAGACAAAGTTAAAGCTCAATTAGAGAAAGGGGTGGAGTCAGGAATCTTTAAGAAAGTTGAAAAAAGTTCATGGGCAAGTCCACAAGTAACAGTCATAAAAGAAAACGGGGGTCTTAGACTCTGTGGGGATTACAAGGTAACGGTCAATACAGTTTTAGAACCGGACCCGTACCCACTTCCGACTTTAGAACGATTGTTTTCACAGGTAAGTAACGCACGTTACTATTCTAAAATTGATTTGGCGGATGCGTTTCAACAGCTAAGGCTTAGTGAAAAATCGAAGGAACTACTTACGGTCAATACTATGATTGGTCTGATTCGATATGAACGCATGCCATACGGTATCAAAACCGCACCTCAAATTTTCCAATCCGTAATGGATGAAATCTTGCGAGATCTGGATGTTTGTTGTTACATAGATGACATTCTAGTATATTCCGAGACGGAGGAGGAACACTATGGTAAGTTAGAGCAGGTTTTGCAACGGTTGAATAAACACAACGTTCGTGTGCGTATCGCGAAATGCTCATTTCTCAAACCATCAGTAGAATATTTGGGACACGTATTGGATGGTGATGGAATACATCCAAATAAGAAAAACATTGAGGCTCTTTTGAACGTGTCTACTCCCAGCAATGTTTCGGAACTCAAGGCTTTTCTAGGCATGATAAATTACTATGGGCGGTTCATTCAAAATCTCTCATCCGTGTTGTATCCATTGAACAACCTTTTGAGGAAAGATGTAAAATGACGATGGGGAGATGAAGAAAAACTAGCCTTTGAATCTGCAAAAAATTCAGTCAAAGAAGACAGTTGTCTGACGCCTTATGATCCGCAGAAACCAATCAAAGTTGCCGCAGACGCGTCCGGTGTAGGAATAGGCGCGGTCATTTCGCACATAATGGAGGATGGTAGTGAACGTCCGGTGCATTTCGCCTCGCGTAGTCTCAACAAAGCGGAGAAAAATTACGCGCAAATTGAGAAGGAGGCTCTATCTCTCATTTATGCAGTGAAGAAATTTCACATGTATATTTATGGGAAAAAGTTCACTTTAGTGACTGATCACAAACCTTTAGTCACAATTTTGGGTTCAAAAACAGGTATTCCTACTTTAGCGGCTGCACGAATGCAACGATGGAGTCTCATTTTGTCCGCTTACGATTATAACGTCGAATATCGCAAATCTGCTGAGCATTCTAATGCTGACGGTTTAAGTCGTTTACCGGACATGTCCGCTAAAGCATGCGAAGAAGATGCAGAATTACCTCTGCACATGTTGTCGTTCACAGATCAGTTACCAATCACAGCGACTGATATCAAAGAACGTACTCGGAAAAACCCAGTTTTGTCTAAGGTTTATGAATACACTCTTAATGGCTGGCCTAATCAGATAAATGACAATGAATTGAAACCGTATTTCCGCCGAAGAAATGAGCTTTCCACAGACCAAGGATGCGTATTGTGGGGATTACGTGTTGTCATTCCACCCATTTATCGCGATCAATTACTCGCAGAACTACACGAAGAGCATCATGGGATTGTACGTATGAAATCTCTTGCGCGATGCTATCTTTGGTGGCCAGGCCTTGACTCTCAGATAGAAGATATAGTACAAAGCTGTAACACCTGTCAGGCATCCAGAAATATGCCTGCAGAAGCACCATTAATGCCATGGTCTTTTCCCAGTCGGGTTTGGCAACGCGAACATATAGACTTTGCGGAGAAAGACAATGAGCGATTTCTGATACTCATCGATGCGTACTCAAAATGGATCGAAGTTTTTCCTATGCAAAGCACAACTGCTTCTAAAACAATTGATAAACTGCGGTCATGTTTCGCCCAGTTCGGTTTACCGGAACAGTGTGTCTCAGATAACGGTCCACAATTTACATCCGAGGAATTTCAGAAATTCATGTCTCATAATGGCATTAAGCACACATTTAGCCCTCCTTATCACCCAAGCACGAATGGCGCGGCTGAGCGGTCGGTACAAATCATCAAAAATGCTCTATTCAAAAATGTTCTTGACAAAAAGAAAGGTACGCTATCTCAGAGATTGGCAAATTTCCTGTTAATGTATCGGAATACACCACACTCAACTACAGGAGTTAGTCCAGCGGAATTGTTCCTAAAACGTCAGTTGCGTACTCGTTTCACTCTTTTGAAGCCAAATTTGTTCAACCGAGTCGAGAATAAACAACAAAGTCAAGCACTTCAAAAGAACCGTT